GCAACATCTCCCACAGTGTTCATCATCGACTTGTCAAGGTTGATCCTCAGGCGCGTTAGAGATTGAAAGCAAGCGATTGTAGCCATAACATGGAGCACTTGCTCATGGTTTGCATCATAGAATATCAGAGTATCGTCTGCAAACAGGAGATGAGTTACTTCCCCCCTTTTAGACTCTTCATCCATATAGAATCCTTCAAATTTTCCTTCAAGACGAATCAAATTCAACATCCACGACAAAATTTCCATGACCAAAACAAAGAGGCCAGGCGAGAGAGGATCTCCCTGACGCAATCCCTTAGAAACTGAGAAAAAACCATTAGATTCCCCATTAACCAGAACAGAGATATAGGAGGAACACGTGGAACCTTTGATCCAGCTCAACCACTTCTCCGAGAGTCCAGCAGCTGCCAATAACTTAAATAAACAATCCCAGTTGACGTTATCGAAGGCCTTCTCGATATCAAGCTTAAACATCAACCCCGGTTTTCTTGGAGCAACAGCAACTTGCTGAGTTCTAGCTAGTAGCCGAATTTAGCATTCTTCTCATCATCCCTCAAAGGACGGGTCTCCTCCAAAGTATCCAACTCTTTAATTTTCTGTAATGATTCCCCAATTTTTACATCCACGTTCCCAAACACTTCTTGGTTCCACACCTTAAGCTTTGCTTTAATCAGTAGAAGTCTCTTAGCAAGAAGAAACATACCCCCATTACCCTGCAACCTCTCACCCATCCATGGGTTCATATTCTCGTAAAATCTCTCATCCTCCAACCACATATTATGGAAACACCATGGCCTCTGGATCCTTCTATCCTGACCCCACTTGAGAACCAACAAATTATTGTCTGATTACACCCTCTCCAAGGCGGTAAAGGTGCAATCCGGATAATAGATGTCAAATTTTTGCGAAATAAGAACTCTATCAATGCGAGACCGAGAATCCCTGTTCACACCATGAATCCAGGTGAACCTGCTTCCCCCAAGAGGCAACTCAAGCAAACCATTATTATCAATGAAGGAGTTGAATTTAAACATCAATTCCGAACTTCTTCTACTTCCTTGATAATCATCATGATTCCTAACCATATTAAAGTCACCCGCGATACAAATAGGCCCAGAGTGTCGAGAGCAAAAGTTCTGTAATTCGCTCAGAAAAGCCAACTAGTCTATTCTCTCTTGTGGTCCATACACAACCACAAAATGCCACACTTTAGAGCTGCAGATTTCCAACAGTTCAACCATGATAAAATGATTACCTTCTGAGCTGGAGAGTTTAGTGTAGAAGAGTTTATCCCATAACACCGCAATACCTCCAGAACTTTGAACAACATTCTTTGCTACCCACTCAAACTCTCTTCTAAATACACGCTTCCAATAATTCTGTCATCACAATTCGGTAGTTTGGTTTCAACAAGACCCACAATTTTAGGGTAGTGTCGCCCAATCAGCCTCTTAATCCTGCTTCTCTTCTCCCGATCCCCAATTCCCCTAACATTCCAGATCGCAATACTCTTATCCATAGAACTATTGAGAACGAAACCCCCTATTTTTCCTGCAGCTTATAGGCCCCATGGGAGACAGAGCCCTCGGACCAAGTCTGTGATTTTCCATTTCCAACTTTGATCGGGTTACCGTGTTCCTCCTCTGATATAGTTCCTTACCCGATTGACGAATCAGCTCCTCACCCTTTTCAATAGTCCCTTCAAGCTCCAAACTCAGCATTTTGCCCACATAGATGCATTTATCCACCAACGTCTTCTCATCGAAAGGGAAGACTTCTGAATCCAATTCTCTACTTCCACCAACATCGATGCAGGAAGGGGAGGGGAGTTCGTTGCTCACAATACTTGAGACCCCACCATCCACATCAGAGGGCGTAGGGGTTTGGGGAACAAGGCTAAGGAAATCCTCTCCCCAACAATCCAGAGATGCCGAACCAGCAACCGGTGATCGAGCCTCACATTCCCCGTCCGGCAAATCATCAAAATAAATCATGCCACCATTGTAGTTGTTGGAAGAGCCAAACCCCAGGAGAGAATTCTCAGCCAAACCCCTAACTGTATTCCCAGAGCCAAAGCGATCACCATCATCAAACCTTGCAAAATAAAAACTCACAAGGTCGCAATGTATATTCCAAAAAATTGTTCGAGAAAGAATACACCTAGAAGGGAAAACAAATGATACGTTCACCCTCACCAGCCCATTCTTAAACGAGGCCCAGCTTAAGTCCCTTCTCGTACGGCTGTCGAAACTCACCAGATCACAAGCATCAATTACACAAGTGGAAGGGTTGATGCGAGAGCAGAGAGCAAGTCCACCACTTTCCGAGCCCCTGGAAGTCTTCGGGCCCAGTTCATTCAGCCCATGGAAAAATTTCCAAGAACTAGGCCCACACCCAGCTGGAATCTACAACGGTCCTTCTTTTTTGACCCACACTCTCTTAACCCTACGCGCCGCCGATTTTGAAACGTTTCCAGCCGTCACGCCACTCATTGCATGCGTGTCCTTGGGCGCAGTTCCTAATGATGTCTAGGGGCACGATGCATGGCTCTTCGCCTTCCCGTCATTCTTCCCAATGTTTGCCGGAGCTCTAGCCGGATGAACCATAATATTCACGACAAAATTCTGAGAACCGTATCTTAATAAAATCTCATTAGGAATAGGACTGCTTTTCTTGATTCTGATTCGAACATAAGGAAGGTACCAAGAGTTCCAGTCAATTTCAATGAAGGATCCACAGTAGTTCCCAATCGTCCTCATTAAGTACACACTCTTCAACTCATTGGGATGTTAAAAGCAAAGATCCATTTTTCATCGCCCCTCACAATCGTATCTTCATCCTTCCACTCCACAAGCTTGATAAGAGCCCCCAAAAACTTGACTCGCTTCGAATATCACACTTAAATACCACCTAAGGCCCAAGTATAAACCTTAAATGGGTGTAATATAGGGCAAGTATGTTTAAATATCAACCCGGGCCGGTCCATGTACCCCTACTTCAATTGTTTGAAACATTATCTAGCAGAATGAAGTTTGTAAGAATCTCTACAATCTACGATTAAAAGTGCAAGGGTTGAAATTCTTGGTGAGAATCTTCACTCGGGAGTTGTTTCCCCCCTAACTAACTACCATAAAATGTGGGATCGAATGAATTGGTGTGCGACAAGGCGATTGCGAACCGCAAGAGGAGCCACAGTGGTTGGAAACCACACTCTCAATCGCTAGGCCAAGGAATGCATTATAGGCTACGAAAGTAGCCCTCTTGGCCCAAGCAAAAGAGGGTTGACTTACCTTCTCCCTCAAACCGGGTTTTGGACGGCTCAATCACAACTAACCTAGATGTCTAATTGAATTTTAGACGTTTGTCTTACATTAACCTAGTTAGGAGGCATGGAATGCCTAATAAAACTCACTCAATTTGATCCTCTTAAGGAAAGGGGGCTTCTCTCTAAACTAGGTTAGGGTAGCACAATATATTGCCAAGCACACACAATGCACAATCATCATGAACAATAACTCAAAACTTAAATTCAACATCACCCACACACAATCATTCAATCCACACAATCAAGTACATGGTAGAAGTTAGGGTTCTACAACACCCAAGTGAATAGGAGACTACTTCATGGTACAAGAAGGAAGAACACAAAGGTAAAAGGAAAAAACCATCATTGTGATGCCTCAATCCTTCCTTGTGCTTGTAGAGATCCTCTATTGAAGAGGAACTTCCCAATTCTTGACTTGGAGCTAACAAACCCTAGCCACTTCTCCCTCTTGGTTCGTGACTTTCTCTCTCTATGGTTTCAAGAAGAAGAAGGTTTCTCTCCCTTTGGGCTCCCTCACTTATTCCTTTCATCTCTCCTTTTATACACTGATCGAGCCGAGTTCGCGGTCCCAGTTTACGACCGTGAACATCTGGCCTGGACCATGTACATAGCTAAAACGCACCGCTTTCTTTTGTTGAGTTTGCGGTCGATGGCTTCACGGTCTTACTACCGTGAACTGACCTGGCGTTAGTAACTTCTGAAACCTCTCTGGACACCCTTCAGTTCGCGGTTCGTGGCTCTAGTTCACGATCCTGACGACCGTGAACACCGGCTGTTTCCTCCTCTTTGCCCGGTCCTAGCGCCATTTTTTCCAACTTTCGACTCCGGGGTTGGTTCCACCAGCAAAGCTAGCGTAAAACAACCTTTTGTGGAGCTCAAATGCCACAAAGGTCAAAGAGAAACGGGGATATAAATGTACTTCTAGGCCCGAATCAGGTACAAGGACCTCCTCAGATTGACATTGAAATACTTGCCATATCCTACACCCTACAAGAGGTTGCAATTGGCTTATAGTCTGATTAATGGTAGTGTAGTAGCTAGCGAGTCAATGTTCTAAGCTTGATCTTTTAATATACATGCTCTCTTTGGGGTCCTTGTTTCCTAGTACAATTTGTTGTATCATTGTTTATTTTCACTATAAATTGAAGAGTTTACTTAGTTATATATTTTTTCTTCACTTGAAATAACAAATGACTATAAAATGTAATTTACTAGTGAAAACTTGACATATGGCTTTTGGTTGCTTGATCTCCAAGTCGACATAACAATGTTACCGAATTAACCATCTTAAAATTAACCAACCTAAAATTCTTAATTGGGAAAATAAGGCAATTTCCCTCTTACTAATCATAACGAGTTGTTTTCCACAACCAAATGATTGGAACATTCATAGGAATCGAGAATAGGATGTTTTGCAAAAGATCCAATTTTCTTACCTTCTCCCAATTCAAGCAATTGAATTTTCTTCCAAAAGACGGTTAACAAACAAAAACACCCTTTCTACCAAAAAAAAAAACAAAAGCACCCAATCATCAATTTGTTTTTTCGAAACAAATTCTCGAGATCTCTCATCTTCTCCTTTTCGATTCCACTTATACAAATTATTTTCCCCCATTAAGAAATAGACTATTTCAACAGATGTTGTAATAAAATCATCTATGTTGTTGTGAGTAATGGGAAGGAGAATCCCTTCAACTAATGATCGTTATAATCTTGAATCCACACATCCAGTTTTTTCTGTGTCTCTCTTCATTGCAGGGATGGCTGCCGTGATCGCCATTTCCACGACCCTGTGCGGGTATGGCGTCGAGAGAAAATTGGAATCCAAATCGTCATCGATGTCACCCAGTTCGACAAAAGTAGCGGAAGATGAAAATTCGGAAACGTCAGAAGGGGGTGGAAAGCAAGAAAAATGTAGAGATTTAGACGAAGAAGGGAGCTCCCATGGGAGCGCATTGCCTTTACCGCCATCGAAGCAACTGAGGGCGACGTACTCGTGCAACAACTTCGTGGCAACAACGTCCATTTCCAGGAAGAATCTGACGAAAGCGATGAGCATGAATCTTAAGAGGAGTGTGTCGGAGGCGAAGAAGCAGGATCGAGAGGAGAGGAAGATCAAGAGGGAGAAGATGAGGAACGAGGATTCGGTGTGGATGAAGACCATTATATTAGGGGAGAAATGCAAGGTTCCGGATCAAGAAGACGACATGGATGTCATCTTTGACGGGAAAGGGAGGAAAGTTTCGGCTTATCACCCCAGGACAATGAGCTCCTATGGCTTGTCCAGAACCAATTCCTCCATTGATCACACTGCGATTCCTTCATCTTCACACTCATTGGATGGAGGAGACCATCATCAACGTAAAGTAAGCAATGGGAATAATATTGGGAAAAGGGAAGGAGGAGAATTCTCATTATCATCATGATTTGTATCTACCGTGCGTCTGAACTCATCATTGCTTCCTTTCTTTCTTTCAAACATTTTTTAATTGCTAGATTTATGTTGAACCAAATATTTATAAACAATAAGTTTTCAGGCTACGCTTTTGGCCGACTAGCATAAAAAAATGTCACTAAATTTTGAACAGGATGGCCGGTGACATTGTAACTAAAACAAAGCATGATACGGTTATATATGCCTCAACATTCAAAGATATATCCAAATTAGGCATTTAAATATCTTCCCAAGATGATCAAAACAATTTCGTCCTCAACTTCCGTATGCCAACATAATTTACAAATATTTTGTTTTAGGGCCATTTCAACCTCACTAAAAAAATTACTTCTTGGTGGAATAATGCAATTTGAATTGCTCTCATGTTCATAAATTGATTTTCTTTTTCTTCATCGTAGCAGTGGCCATGCCTGCTTAAGTCAGTGGGAAGGGTGTGGGAAGATTGGCCCAACTCCATATGCTTAAAAAGGTTGTTTATATTAGAGTATGTGTAGTACGAGTACGTTATACTATCAGTACTGTTATGTAATTGTTAGAGTTATATTCCTTATCAGAGTCGTAATTTCTACTTTGATAAGGAATATAACTCTAACAATTACATAACAATTATAATACAGAAATTACCTACACTACACCAAAACAGTGTTTTAGCGACGGTTATCCGGAGTTTTAGCGACGGTCAAAACCGTCGTTAAAGTATTTAACGACAGCCATCAAACCATCGCTGACCCAGTAGTCCTTAAATATTTTAGCGACGGTTTGGGTCGACCGTCGCACCAACCGTCATCAAAATTTAGCGACGCCTGTGCCTGACGCTATCTTTCCAGCAAACCGTCGTTACATTAATATTGCGGAAATCCATTAAATTATTTAGCAATGGTGCCCACTGTCACTAAAGGTTACTGACCGTCGCTAATGGCTACTGACCGTCACTAAAGGTTACTGACCGTCGCTAATGGCTACTGACCGTCGCTAATGGCTACCGTCACTAAAGGTTACTGACCGTCGCTAATGCACTGATGATTACAGCCCCAACCTGCTGTACTTTTCCTTGATAATAACATTTGACAAATCCAGCTAATTAAGAAACCAATCTCATCTGTTAAGAGGTACTACTTTCAATTACCAAATCAACTATAAACCACCAATCATTCAATTCTAGTACTAGTAAACCTACAATCTAGAGTTTACACCCATTCAAGCTATTTACAAAAGCTCAAAACTCTCACTTACAGTCACTCTTAGCTCCTTAGCTCCTTAACCCATTCAAGCCACTTACAATTGACACGCCAAAACACAACACCAAACTACGACCAAGTGGAATCGCAGTCCGGGAATGCAGTAACAGGCAAGTTATATTATCAACCCGGGGTCTAGATCTACTACTTACTCCGTGATTCTCTATTATCTAGCAAACTAATTCGAGTGAGTGTTGTTTAAAGCAAAAGCAGTAAGAAAGCAGGAAATGGTTCGGTTTTCAAAAGCAGGTAAGAGTCACTCGGGATTGAGTCCCCCTAGCCCCTTAGTTAGGTTCAATTGCAATTCCCTGGGTTGATTTACTGTTGATTAGACTGCGGAAGATCCGACAGTAGCTTGGAATCTCTTAAGCTGACCAAGCTCTCTCAGTCTAACTATCCGGCAGGCGACTAGCCTTCACCGGGATAGAAAGCTGAGGCTATGAACACAGAACTCCACTACTGGCGCCAAGAACACCAGTACAAAGTAGTAAACTGGCTAACTCTCGTATAGCCAATCTCCTACTATCGAATGAAGAGGCTCTAACAACCTAATCAGATTCTATCTATCTCAGGTTGCAGCAGAAATTGAGAAAAGCTGATCAGACTCAAATCAATTCAATAAACATGCATCATTCGATTAAAATCAAACAGTAACATCATCCCAAATCATTACAATCAAATCACTAACACAAGGAACTAGGGTTCTTCATACCCAAGTGAGAGAAAGGTTCTACTCCATAGAGAGAGAAGAGAAAACAGAAATCAGAGTAGTCATACTCATAAAGATGAGGAAAATCTGCTCTGGGATGTCAATCTTCACTCCTAGGGACGCAATCTGGGCTTCAATGATGAGAAATCCACTCCAAAATAGCTCCTAGGGTTTGTTCTTCGCTCTTTCTCTCTCTAAAACTCTGTTTTTTTGCCCAGAAAATCGAATTCTCTTTCCTTGGCTCGAATCTGCCTCCAAAAACCCGACTCTAGGCGAATTACGGGCAGAATTACGGCCGTAATCACGTCCTGCCCGTAATTCACACCAAAACGCACGTTTCACTTAGGCTACAGGGGGAGGAGATACGCCCGTAATTTACAAATTACCGCCAGTAATTTGGGAATTACGGCCGTAATTCTTGGGATCTTGCCCGTAATTTTATCACCGCGAGTGAATTCTGGGTAGAAGGCTCGGCCAATAAATTACGGGCATGCCCTGGCCAATTACGGCCGTAATTTGGCAGGGGCTGCCCGTAATTTTGTCTGCGCTCCTGTTCAAAGCTTCGTTTCTCCCTCATCCGGACTCCAAATCAGTCGCCGTTTGAACCCAGACGCTCGTAGTCTCGTCCTCTTTCTTTTCATGACAAGCTTGCATGATTATTTGTCCATAAAGTGAGGTAGAAATCCATTCTTCTTCAGGTCATACCCGAGTTTCTTCTCCCGAATCGTCAATTGATCTCTGATTGACTTGAAACTTGCGCCTATGCTTCACTTTATGTGCTAGGACCTGAAATGTGACAAAGGAACACAACCTAGCGTAAAATAGGCCAATGAACAATCAATTCGAGCCAAAATGGACAGGAAACCAGGGTGAAAACACGTGCAAATACGATGCTATCAACAATCTAGAGTTTCCTCCACTGTTCTGCTCCTTACACCCATTCAAGCAACAAAGTTCAACTTCCTTCATTAACCTGCAGCCCTGCGAGAGACACCCCATTCAAAACTTGCTAATGCCTCATGTTATATAGCAGAAGTTTTATGTTATAACCAGGAAATCAAAATCTACATTCTACCAAAAGTTCAAAAATCTCACTTACAGCCCCTCATTACAACAGATTGCATATTGTTAAGAGTTGGCTAAGAAATTAAGAAAGAGAGATACGACAGTTGGGTTAGCACAAAAAAAAAAAAAAAAACAAGAAGAAATGACAAAACAAGAGTCAAAGGATAGTTGAAGAAGAAAGCTGTAGCATATCTCTTACCCATGCTTTCCAAGGTGGTGATTCAATTGATAAACTCCTGCATTTACAAAATAGCGAGAGAAATTTTCAGAGGAATGATATACTGACATCTTTTCCTAAGGACATCTAGTATAACAGTAAACACATACAACCAACCAGATAAGACTGGTCCCTCAAAATATGAATCCAACTTATTGATGGGGTGTTAGATGACTTTAGTAAGAATAGGGAGTTACACAGTTGAGAAAAAGAATTTAGAGTATTCTTATAAGAGTATAAGGGGAGGAACATACCTAAGTTCACATCTTGAATTCTGCAGCAAGATCTTCCCGACGAACACACTTTTGCTTCTGCGAAATAGAAACCAAAAAATACTCAATCAATAAGAAGAGAATCCCCAAGATCAGGAGTCTAGAGACTATAAAAGTGCTGCTACCTCTATGAACTCGACAAAATTGGACAACATATTTAATTTCCATCTTGACCTTCCCGCTCTGTTTTCTCTCCTTTTTCGTTGATGCTTTAGCAGTATAATACTTATACACTGCACCTTCGTCGTCACTCTCATCCACATGATCTGTCTCGAGAATTTCATGCATTAGTACGCTACTGAATCACGGGCTGTGTTTATTATGGCATGCAATAAACAGGTCTTGGCAAGCTACTAAAGGGTTCTAGAAAACATAAATTGAAAGTTCTATGCCTAAGTGCTGAGCCACAAATTAATTCAAGATTTACTTCACGTAATTCACACCTTCATAGTTTGTATTCGTTCTGAAAAGAAGTACCAGGACATGAACAAAACCATTGCCACATGTAAAAAAAAACACCAATTTCATAAAATAAAGAGACAGAGTGTTCACCCAATTCATTTCTGGTTTATCAAGTCAACACTGACACATAGTGAACACCAGCCTTACTCATATTACCTAATGTCCTTGTTTATACTTTTTTTTTTTTGGTGGAATGTCCTTCTCTATACTTAAAAGCAAAGAGAAGACATCAGAACAAGTAACGGCTGAGAAATCAAGCCAAAGAGGCTGCTGTCATAATCACTATCGAATTACAACGATAAATGATTGAATGATCATAGAATGCAATTACATATGTGTCGGTCATTTGCATAGAAGATGATAGTACTTACCAGCTCTTATATAATACCAGTCAGGATCATAAGAGACAAGCTCCTTCAATTTACCAGTCTTAAGAATATCAGTCTGTGGGGAAAGCTCGATCTGTTTCCAGAAAAGTTAAGGCAGCACAGTAATCAGATGTCTAAGGCAGAATAAAGAAACTAGATCATTCTCCTGAACAACAACTTCACCATCAAATAAAAATAGGTTGAGATTGTGAAAAGATGAAATTGAAATCCAGTTCCACAACGACACTGAATTTGCTTCATCCAGACGAACAAAGGCAGACCCAAAATAGTATTCCTCGTTAATCAGAGAACTAAAAAGGCTCCAAATATGAAACCTTCCCTTCAGCAGCAAGTCTGCCTTTTTCATTCCAAAAAAAAATAGTAAAAGACGAGGGTATACCTGAGTGAATCAATACCCGAAGTCCCGAACCACCACCCTTGCCTTCTGCTAAGGACCCAGTGCCCACCCGCCCGGCTTTTCTGACGATCCTTACCACCATGCAAGGAATTCCTCAAAACGCAGTTCGTTCTTGACTCAACCACCCCAGTGGCTGCTTCCACTTGCAAAAGTAACTCCATCTTTCTCAACCACCCCCAGACAGCAATTAACATTCCGGCAGGCAGGCCCTTTGACGTCATCTTTGACGGCTTCACAACTCTCTTCCCTGCAGAAGAAAGTTATACATCTGACCTGCTTGCAAAGGTTCAAAAACTGCGGCCAACCAAAATAAAAATAAAATTATGAAATTGAAGGAGAAAGAAACCTGTAGGAAAAGAGAGTAGAAGCAAGCAACATGAGTAGACGAAGCAGAGAGGAAGCAAACAGAAAAGTAGTAGCTAGCACAAAGCCATGAATATGAACAATAGAGTAAAGTAATAATTTGTAGTGCAAAATAGCTTTAAGAAACCTCACCACCGTATTTTGATCTACCATCCATGATAAAGCCCACAAATATTCAGTTTCCTTCTCAATAGGCTTACCAGAACATAGAAGACATAGAGGCTCAATAAACTGCTGTTTTGAAGGAAGGAAGGAATTCAATAGCAGGAGCACACCTTAACACTACACTGAACATTTATATTGTTGTCAGAAGCTCAAGAACTCTCTCATATTTCACCTGCAAAAGAACAAGAGCATCATGGGAATGAAACGATTAGGGGAACTAGGAAATTTTATTACCAATCATTCATTGGTACAGAAAATAAGGTGAAAACTTGGAAAATAGATGTGAGTTAGGAAACCCAATACTTGACTAGCAGTTGCAAATTACAAACACGAGTTTCCTTTGAAATAAATTTCATTTACAGCCTTAACAGGAAGCTAACAAAACACTGCATGATGATTTTTACTCTCAACAGAACCTTAGGAAAGATTCAGATTCACCAAAATGTTAGTAAATGTTCTCAAAATTGACACATTTCTTTTAGCTACCAGACATAGTTCTGTCATTTTTGCCTCATTACCTACCTTTCCAATTGGGTAATCTAGTGTTTATCATTGACATGCTTGTAGTCCCTGCCAAGAAAAAGACACAGCTATTAGAGCGCTAGCTAGAACGAAGAGAAAGACATGCTAATTAGTTATACACAACTGAATTTAAAAGTAGCAATGATTACCACCAAATTAAGAATGATAATTTCGTTCATGCATATCCAGGACAACTATTTGGAGCAAGAATTCAACTGACATCATTGATGATAAAATGAATCATCAAAACTTTTGATTCAAAAGCATCATTGAGACATACTTTTCTCTTCTAATTTCTTCCCTGATGGCCTAAAGGTTGTACTGCTTGAATGACAGGGTGTGTAAGAAGTCAAAAACAGGGCCGATTCCAGAATTTCAATCACACGACTTGCAGAGTAATGTTGTATTTTGAGTTTTAGGATCAATTAACTTCTCAACTACCAAAACAATCACCAAATAGACTCACATGCATTAGTCAAGCACCCAAACAAACGCGTATGAATCGGTTAAGGGATGAAGCAACAGAGGAGACTCGGTTGAGAATAGAAAACTTAGGGTTTGAGAAAAACCCCCAATTGAGAGTACTAACTCAATCGAACATCTCACCTCCAGAACTCTTACCTCGATTCAGATCTTACAGGATAGTGGATGTGGCTCAGATCTCCCATGACTGAGAGTGAAGATGATAGGCGGTGACAGAGCAATTCTGAGTGCGCCATCGTCCATCCCATCCATAGCGCGTCGAAATTCTACAAGACACATGAGAAATTCACTTCTCCTGCTGACAAATCCGAACGGTTGCGAGATGCTCCGTTGTCATTGGCACAGAAGCTGGTCAATTTAGGGTTTTCAATCGATGAGGAAGCTACGCGGCAATGGAGGAAACAAAATTTCAGCTTCACTGCGTGCTCTCTCTCTCTCTCTCTCTCTCTCGCGATTGTGTGGTTGGATCTCCCCTGGCCACACCCCACTCGCCCTCTTTCTCTCTCCTCTCTCTTTCGCCCTCTGTCTCACGATCTCTTTGAGACTAATATTAAATCAATGGAAAAAATGCTTTATTTTATCTTTTGTATTTAACTTTTTAAGTAAAAGAAAAAGGGAAAATGAAATAAATTGTGGCCTGTGTTAATTATATAGCTTTGCTGCAGCTCAACATCAATTAGATACCGACGGTCAAATATTCCGTCCACTTTGCCCGTCAACAATTTATAGATACCGACGGTCATGGGCGAGTCAGTGTCAGTAGGTAACCGTGGTTATCATTAGTTTTCCTTGTAGTGCTAACTTATACAACTCTGATAATAAGGAATATAACTCTAACAATTACATAACAGTATTCGTAGTATGACATAATACTACTTATACATACTCTAATAATTTATGTAGGCAGAAGTAGTCTATGAGGCTCTACTCCTCCCTTGCCAGATTAGAGAGATATTGGGGCAATTGGGTGACACGATGCCCTTTGGGGTCGTTTGGATTAGAGATTTTGATAATGAGGGATTTCAATTAAAATCTCTCGTTTAAAATACCAGAGAATTTGTATGCAGGATTTAGAAGAAATAATTCGTTTGGATTAAAATGCAGAATTTTAACCTTAAATGTAAAATTACACTACTGTCCAGTCATCTTCCCTTATGTTCTTCACTTGTAATCAAATTACAGGCTGCGTCAACAATCAACTATTCTTCCCCTGCTTCTAGACCAATTACTCACAACAAATGCTTCTCTTCTTCTCTGCTTCATCACAAACCCAGAATGTAATAACTATTTGCAGATCAAAGAAGAACATAACAAACCCAGAATATGAGACAAATAAGAAACCCAAAATCGAAGATTCATTTCACTCCCTTCCAATTCCAAACAACTCTAACTGATTACCGCTTTTTGTCTTCAACTTCATATGACTGGAGTAAGTGATTGGATTAGCATAACAAAGATAGGACTGCTAGCCGATTGAAACCCGGATTGGGCGATTCCCCTTTCACTCTCGCACCTGACCCTCCCTCCCCTATATTCCATCTGAGCCTGCCGATTCCATCGCTTCTTCTCGATTCTAAACCAGTCATATTCGAGCAACAAATCGGCGCCGACGTGGGGGTGTCTACGGCAGACCAGCGACCGGCAAATCGACAGGCAGAGCGGAGGTCTGCTCGTCTTCTTCTATCGCGGCCGCAGTGACGGCAACTGGGGAGTCAACGACAGAGAACGACGTTGGAAGGTTGACAGCTGTGGATGTGGTTGGGGAAATTGGGATGCTGCTCCAGGATGCAATGTGTCGGCGATTGGGAGTGGAGAGATTAGAGGAAGAAGGTAGGAGAAGAAGGAACAAGATACGAATGGAGGGTAGGTTTTGGAATAAATGAAAGAAGAATGAGAGATTTGAAAATAGCTGATGGTGATCAGCTATTTCAAAAACCCACGATTGAGGGTTTTTAAAATTCTTAATTGTTAAATTCTTCATGTTTTCCAAACGCAGAATTGTGTTAAAATCCTGCATAATGAGGAATTGTTTTAAAATCTCTCACAAATCCCTCGCTACAATTCTTCATCCAAACGCAGAATTGCAAAGGTAGGTTTTGGGTCTTCATCTACTATAGTGGGGCAATTGGGTTCCATGAAGCCCTTCTGGGTCTTAATCACTAAAAATGAAAGAAAATAAACACAAACAAACAAGTAAGTAGTTGAGTTTTTATTCAAATGAGAAAGTGCCACACTAGATTTTATCTCACATTTTCAACGTTTTATAAGGTAGAATACATTAATACCGACTAGACTATCCTATCACTCAGTAGAAAGCCCCTAGTTAAACCTGTTGAGTATTTCAAGTTTGAGATTGAATCAGAAGGATTGCACTATCAATGCTATCATTTTAGGTAACAGGCTGATCTCCAGGGAAGTTGCCTTTCTTGTGTGTAACGGCTCTCTGGCTCTCACTATAAAGCATTGCGACCGGTTCTGTGAGAAGGCACTTTTGTGAAAAGCTTGTGAGCGGTAAAGGGCTAAAGCTAGGAAATTGCAAAGGGGGGTTTGACATACTCAGGGGTATAGGATCTGAGTGTGTCAAGGCAGATCAGATCAAGGTTGATCTGGGTTCTTTGATTTCTTTATCTTTGCAATTTT